TATTTTTCGGTTAATTGGGCATATGTATTGTTTCCTTGTGTAGTACGTGATGTCATTTTTGCAAAATATTGCCCTCTATTGGTTCAACAAATAGCTGAACTTTTGACTTTGTGAATGTATCATTGTTGTTATATTAGCACATTTGTAACATGATGTTTGACACGTTACCATAAGTGATTGAAAAAATATTGTTAGAACTTATACTGAGTTTAAATATTATTGTTTTCCTTTTATTTGAAATATTGAAAGATAAAACAATTGTTGTCAAACACTGACAACAATGGAGTAGCAGATGTATAACAATTTAAGGTTGCAATTTTCAGCAAGCAACCTAACCTTAATATAGAAGATGGATCTAACATCGGACATTGTAATAAAAACACGAGCTATACTTGTGTAGCTCGAAGTGAGATATTGTATCTTGTTTTCTGTGGTTACTATTGCAGAAAAGCAAGGAGGCCATCAACCTTATTTCAAAGGTTGAAGGTAGTTGTACTACTTTTTTTTGTTAGGATAGTATTGAGCCTAGACCATTTTTCCATTACTTTATGGCTGCTCAAAGAATGGGTTGAAGGCTCTACACGACTGATTCTCGACTGAAGCCTGCCACCTTTTTTATGTTTATGGAAAAGATGTGCTAATCAAACACTTACATCTGAAGAATTTTTGCAGTATCCAACGTCATTAAGACAATGACCATTGTCAATCCTCTCATTTTATGATACTGTCGTTAAAAACAAGATGGAAACTGTAGATGCACCATTTTTATGGACTTATAATTTTAAGATCACAAAAATCAATCATGCGAACTATCATGAAACAATCCTTGTTTACACAACTTACATAACCATGACGTAAGTTATTCTCCTAGAAAGCTAAAGTAAGGACAAACAAATTTTCTACATTGATAAAAATCTAAAACAAATTTTTAAATGGATGATGATTTATGTAAATATTAAGAAAAATAAATAGGCACTGACTTGCCATGATATCGAACACGTACTCCGCGAATTACCAAAAAGTTTCCAACTCCAAACAAACCTAGCATGAAAAACACATAACTAATCATAGAGTCTACATTCACATAACTTGGAACAAGGAATATAAGAACGAAATGGTTTGACCTAAGTGGACAGCCTCCTAGATACAATTGTGCAGATCGTATCAAAAAAAAAAAATTGAACCAAACAATTCGGCATGAAAAAATAGTAATAAAGCAAAAATAAGGAAAAGGAAAAAAACCAAATCGCATAAAGCAAAACAGTCCAAATTCATTCGAACACTAAATGAAACACAAAGACAATTTGTCTTTAAAAAAAAAATTGAAGTCCATGAGCAACAAACGATACAATTAGATCAACTAAGGTATACACAATCATCATGTATACCATATAAGTGTGTATTTATATGTTTTTATATGCATATCTATAAAGAAAGATGCGTGTGGATTAGACAAACCATTTTATTCATATATAAAAAATAAAACTCCAAATTTAACACAAAAATTGATGTTCATGAGCAACACACAATGCGAATAAATCAACTAAGCTACACACAATTAGCATCCATAACATATGAGTGTGTATTTGCAAGAATTTATATGCATATCCATAAAAAGAAAGAGATCTATGTACGTGAATTAGTCAAACCATTTTATTAATATTTATAAAATAACACGTCAAACACAAGTTACTAATTAGATGAAGAAAAGAGAAGTTGAATGTGGACTAGTAGTGAACTTCACAATTCAGCAAGACACTATTGAGGACCAATAATTTAAGGATTAATATAGGCGCAATTGACAAAGCACTGCCGAGAAACCCAATATGCGAGTAAGTATTGTAAATGTATCATTCACTTTCTCAGCCACCAAACTACCATTCACTATTAACCTCAAATCATGCTCAAATGCTTTCTCCGAGGGAAGGAAAACTGTAAATGCAATATCTTTAGGCAAAATTTCAAGAAACAAATGGCTTGATCTTCCCTATCCTGGGCCTAAATGAAGCTATTGCACCCCCCTTTCACAAGTGACACATTTACATCTGGAAGCCTAAGCACCGATATAAATATAACCAAAAGGCAAGAAATGGAGGGCACTACACAAACAAAAGCGACCGAGTTCTTAAAAAAGGGACCTTTTCTTATTTTCTTCCATTTACTCTGCAACTACAACTCAACTCAACAAAAACTTAATCCCAATTATTTGTGATCAACAATATAAATCATATCTCTCCATTGATACAATTATTCATATTAATTTCTACGTATCACCAAAGTTCAGAGCCTACGATTCAACAAAAATTCAAAGAGAGATTTTTATGACCACTACAATATGATCAATTCTCTAAACTGTTTCATTGTAACCCAACATAGCGGATCCATACAAGACGACGAATTGGGTCAACAGAACCTAACCGTTCATTGGAGAGAAAATGCAGGAAACTCTAGAAGACATGGTTTATTGATCAAACAAAAGAGCCGTCAGTAACTATGAGTCAAGGAATGTAGCTATGACAACCATGGATACAGCATGACGATACAAACCGAAACCCCCACAAATAAAAACAAAAGGTTTCCGGAAATATAATTGGAAGCAGATCAATCATTGAAAATGTAGACACATATAGAATACCAGAAGGATGTTAGCAGCTCAGGTATTCTAAGTACAACCTAACCAACAAAAAAGTTTGACGGAGCCAAAGAATTTGACAACAAAACAGTAGAAGATTCAAATAATTTTAGACAGGAGATGCTACGCATCAACTGGCATGCAATCAATTACATCATAATTAAATTTTTCTACTAGATTTAACCTTATGTTTCGATTCTGCCATGTTATTCTTTTTTCCCCCTAGGTGCTTTGTCATTCATATGCATCGCAGTGAAGTTTCTTAGACAATGTCATAATCAAGTAGTTTTTCTGATTTTAATTATTGCTTTTCAAGGTCTTGGTTATATAGTGATTTTGAGGGAAATGAAGAGAAGAAAAGATGGTTTGACACATCATCTATGCGTCTCATCTTTCTCTCTCTCACACACACAAACACAAATTTTCATCTTAAATCATACACCAAAATCAAACTCACATAATATAACCCACTTAATTTTAAAACTTTGATTAAGAAAAACTAAAATATCAAATTTTAATGTTGCAAATAACCGTGACAAATCAAACTTTATAGTTTTAATATTTTTTATAATTTTAAGCTCATGTTATATTCTGTAATTATAGATACCATATGGTTATTTATAACTAATTTGTAGATTGTGTATTATAAATATGTCAAATAGAAAATAATCATTTGAATGCATCACAATGAAGTTTCTTAAATGATTGTGTTTATCTTCTTATTTAACTACAACAAATTTTCTAATATCTCTCTTAAGGGATATGCACATGTAAGCTAGACAATTCGTTCGCGTCTTTGCTCGAAACTTTGTTGTTTTCCGATTCCTTTGAATTTATTCACATAGCTTAAAATATTCATGTGAAACATAAAAGAAAACTCATTTATGAAGTTCTATAACTACTGATTTTTTTTTAGTGGATTTCATACAGGACAAAACTATTATCATATAAAAATGAATAAAAAATTTCAAACAAACAACTCATTTAAAGAGTTGGAATCTTACCAATCTGCTGTTTTGTGGGTGTTTTGTTGGAACGGCACCGTTTCATTTATGGGGTTATTTTGTAGGGCCATTTACACAAACGTCATCGTTGCAATAAACAGCATGGTGTGCTGTTAGACCTCTAAAAGCAGAGGAGCCAGAACCTTCAAGGTGAAGGAAACAGAAGGAGGGAAATCGGTGCACCGCCTAGTCGTCCCTGTCTTGCAGCTGTGACGTAAACGCGTGGTTAGGTTGGGTGGGTATTCAGAAACAGCTGAGAAATTAATGAACAAGATACTGGAGAACTTGAAAGCTTTATCCTCTTTTTTTTGAAAGCTTTATCCTCTTGTTTTTTGAAAGCTTTATCATTTTCAATACGGCACCATTCAGAGTCTTCTTCTCACTAGTAAGATTTAAGGATGAGGTCATTTTCATCACTGACAACTTGAAGGCCCACCAACCACGAAAATCTCTGGTGGTGAAAGTCTAACTTGTGTAGGAGCTTCGTGGAATAACAAAGGAGTCCTCTCTGTAAATCTAATAAAATAAAGGGCATATTTGAAACTGGGGTCTGGCCCAGTGGCCCCACGAAGTCTAACTACTCACAACGTTGAATTCTAGTCACCAAAGCTGTCATTACTGTAAGAAGAAAAGATAATTTTACAACATCAATGTTCCATAAAGATGTCATTACCAAGTGTTGATGGTAATATTATGTTGTTGTTTAAATCCAGGATACAAAGCTTGGGAATTGGTGGATGGGTTTTGGAGATAATAACACATTGATAGGTTATTGGCCTGCAGAGTTTTTCCACAAACCTAGCAAACCGTGCCACCATGGTGGGGTGGGGTGGCGAGGTGGTGAACTCAAGGGCCAACGGTGAGCATACGTCAACCCGAATGGGCTCCGGCCACTTCGCCCAAGAAGGTTTTGGAAAAACAAGTTACTTTTGAAACTTTGCCTCCTATGTTTTTGGGTTCAATGGTCACAAGAAAAAGTTTTGAACATAAGTAAGAACTTGGTATGAACTACACAAATTGATTGTAGCACAGTCACAATAATACGATTCGGACATTATCTATCTATATATGATGAGAAAGGAATTAACAGAATCACATATTCTAGCTAGCTGTTTTCATCTATTTTTCCTCTTCTAGCTTCAATGACGTTTGGAACTCAATTTTTTTTTCTTTTTAGATTTAAAAAATGAGCACTTTCATGCGGGTATTATTTCTCCTGTAAAAAGTATCTTTAGTTCCTCCGATCCAATCAATATAACAGGAATCCTTCTACCACTGCCCTCAATTCAGATGACCAGAGTGAACTAATAGTTCCTTCTATATATTATTTGTATTCTAGCAACCATCCTTAATACTTATAAAATTTAGAGACCTTCAGCAAAAATAGTAGCAAAAGCATCCATTTGAGCCTTTGGCAAGGACAAGCCAACCTCTATGCCTCCATCTAAATCTCTGCAACCATTTAAGGACGTTGCTCCTGTAATATCTATAGACACAAATTCGAACGTCTTGGGCTTTCCCCACCCAAAATCCATATCATAGTAGTTGAACTTGGGAGACCCAGCTACCCCAAGAGTTCTCTCCCAGTTAATTTCTTTCAGGTCCAACAGCAAAGTTTCTGCATTTTTCAACATACCCTCTTCATTGTACAACCTCTCACGAATGTCCTCTCCGATCGCCTCCACTGCAAATATGAAACCTTCGTCTCCCGCTAGTTGCTTACAGTTTACAGTTGCAATGCAAGCTGCAAATATGCAGTTACCAAAGTAAGAGGCTGGAATAGGTGGATCCAAACGGGCCCGATTTTCTCCCGCACATACGAAGTGATAGGGTTCATCTTCATCACCCTCCTCCCCAATAGCAGCTTTTGATTTCACCATACAAACCCATACATAAGCACATATTACTGTAAAAGTTGATACATGAACCAATCCTAGTCTTTTGGCCATGACCAAGCTCTTTAATCTCTGGATATTGGTCCTGCTCATTATAAACGTAGCTCTAAACTTATCACTGTTGGTGGGAACTTGTTGCACTGGTGTGGTAGTCCCCAGTTGACTCAGAAAAATGGAGTCTAACCCTTTTGGGTCTTTGATCAAAGTCCTACCAAATAGAGGTTGGGACCCACCTGCTAGAAATGGGCCATCTCCACCACACCTAGTAATCAAAGCCCACGCCTTCATTAAATTGAAAATGGAGTTTGCAATTTGCATCACCAACAGCATGGTGATTGGTCAATCCCACACACAGGCCCTTGTTTGGAAATAATGTCACTTGGAGAGAGAAAACTGGGACTCTAAAAGAATCTGATGATTTAGTAACTAGTGGCAATTGAGGAACAAAAGGGTGAAAATCCATGGCCTTTCTCGGATGATTCCCTATAAAATCAATGAAATCAGAGAATGAGTCAGACTCAGACTCAGAAAAGGTTAGTGAAACAGAGTCGCCCTCCTCGTATCGAATTTGAGGCTTGCTAGAACTTGTTGAAAGCACCAAGTCACCGGCAAGTGGGAAGAAGTGTTTGAGAGCGAGGGAGAGAGAGTCTTTGAGGTTAGGAATGAGGGTTTCCATGAAATGGGTTTTGGAACAAGGGAATTCGTAGAAGATGAGGCGTTGGATGTGGGAGAAAGATAGCCAAAGTATGTGAAAGAAAGTGAGCAACAGCGACTTTTCCACCACTGTGCCCGGCGGTGGGGCGATGCTGCAAAGCTCAAGCACGGTCTGACGTTTAGAACTCAATTCTTCAATCAGAAAAAGATGATCCACCACCTTCAACAGCCTTCCTTGTCAACTCCTTAAACTCATTTGCTCTTCTTTTTCTTTCCTCAGCTTCTTCCCCCACCATTATCTTCTTCACAGCTTTTTCAATGGCGTCATTTTTCACTCCCTCCCTCGCCAATCTATTCCATTCCTTAGCCCCAACACTAACCCTAATCTTCAAAATCTCAGTCACCAATTTTTCATTATAAAATTGCTCCGCAAATACAGGCCATGTCACCATTGGAACACCAGCAGAGACACCTTCCAAGATTGAGTTCCACCCACAATGAGTCATGAAACCTCCAATAGCTTCATGATCAAGTATCAAAACTTGGGGTGCCCACCCTCTTATAATCAAGCCCTTACCCTTCATTCTCTCTTCAAATCCTTTAGGCAACCACTTTTCGTCATCTTCTTCGTTTTTCCCTTTTTGGACAACCTAGATAAACTGTTGTTTGGAAGATTCAAGTCCTATTGCAACTTCATAGAGTTGAGAAGCAGTAAACTTAGCCATGCTTCCGAAACACGTGTAGATAATTGAATTGGGTTTCTTGGAGTTAAGCCATTGGAGACATTCATGTTCATCAATGGAAGCTTCCTTTCCTCTGTGCGCTTTCTCTTCCATATCCCTATTGTAGAGAGAGAGTGGGGGCCTATATGCCACGCTCTTCTACCCAAAACCTTCGTGTAATGAACAACATAATTGGGTTCAAGCTCGTAAAAGCTATTCATTACGACACCATAACTCTTCAGCTCCAATTCTTTCATTCGATTCCTCATCTTTTGCTAGTCATTTTCAGTCTCTTCTCGATCATGATCAGCCATTTGCATTCTCGTCAACTTGATCTCATGTGGGAGATTAGGAAAAACAAATGGTCCAAAATCAAAAGAGACATTTTTGAAAGGCTTGTAGAGTCTCACGCTCTTTGTGGCACACAAAGCAAAATAGCTAGTTCCATGGAAAACTAGTCTTGAAATTTCAAGTTTGGCTGCAGATTCTGTCATCCATGGAAGGAACATATCGGAGATTAGGCAATCGGGACGGCATTCTAGGAGGACTTGTTCGAAAGGTTCTTGAAGCATGGCTATGGCCCTCATGAACTTGGGTAGCAAGTCGTCGAAGGTGATTTGATCCGCACTTTCACAACCTTCTGGCAAACCGACCTCAGCGGTCGGGAATTTCATGATATGGAGGTCAATCTCCATGGCCAAAAGCTTGGTTCTTTCGATGGTTTTGGAGAAAATAGGCGCATTGAGAGAGGTTGTTATTATGGTGGTTTTTACACCGCGTGAAGCAAAGAGTTTGGCCATGTCCAAAGTTGGTATCATGTGGCCATGAGCCATGAATGGGAAGAAGAACACGAAGTTGACACATTTGTCCTTCAATCAAATGATGAAAATACTAGCTGATGAAAATAAGAGAGAGAGAGATAAAATTCTTGTGTGATTGACTGGGAATGAGTATGAGAAGATGAAGGTGTGCATATATATAGGTTGTTTAATTACCAGGACTTGAGAGCTTTATGATTTTAAATGCCATTAATGAGCAAATTCAAACTTAGATTGTTCGTCATCCAAGGTAAATAGATGTCATTGCATAGGTCATCTTGGTCTTGAAGCCTTGGCGAAAAAGAAAGGGAAAAGGAGAAGTGATCTGATCTTTTTCTTCTGCAGAATTGACAAGTACATGGTTTAAACAATAGGATAACCAAAAGCAGTGTGGTTCTAAGAAAGCAGAAAAGGTGAGAGACCGAGGAAGGTTTAGAAACTATTTTGTTATTAGATTGCGGCTTTTCTGGGTTAATGTTTGTGCGGTACACAGCATGAACTAGAGGAAGAGGACAAAGAATAGTTGAATGATAATGCATATGGTTATTCATTAATGCGGACAGAATTTAGAAACAAAATCTCTTTCAGCGAGGACGACTAGGATGAGTTTGGAAAATTACAAATATTTTATTAATAATATTATTTGGATCTAAAAATTTGACTTAATTTGTTGACATAATAATGTGATTTTATAAGATTTATTGTATCAACACCAAGTTCCAATAACATTTGACTTAATCAACTCCAATAACAAATATTTTATGGCTAAGTTATAATATTTTGTAGGTATAAATTCAACTCCAAAGAACATTATTAATCAGGTACGATGCTTGGAAGACACATGGTAATAATGCCATGTCCCTACACCAAATGACAATTTGTCATAGGACTTGTTTGAGCAAGGAAGGATCAGCCACGGTCCACGGTCCAATATGGGTGGTTGGTAATTTTTCTTTCTTTTATAATTATAAATAAAGAGTAATTATTTTTCGACTTAAAAATTTGACTTAATCAACTTTGACTCAATAGTGTGATTTTTTAATTGATAATAAGTTCTAATATTTGAGAGGACTTATAATCAATCTAATAGTTATAATGAATTAGGTCAACAGAAACAAAGACCATGTTACGAGAAAGAGGGGATGGATTTTATTAGTGTCTGACTTTATTAGGCATAAGGTTGAGTGATCCTACGATCAAGAGTTGCATTGGTTGTTCATATGGTAAGCCCCACTACTTAGTCCTAGGTCAGATTGAATTTATACCGTGTTAAAATATTTTTAAGGTAGGGTAGGCATACATTGCATCCGTTCACAATAAATAAACTTTGAATATTTCAATAACCCCTTAACTACATATAACAAATATAAATAGTTTTATGTTCATTAAATTTGTGCACTAAAATTTGCACCAAATTATCTGAAACCATGAAATATGTGATAAGACTCACTAATTCAACAATTGTAAGCAATTTTTTGTAGTTTTGGAGCGCAATAAAGGTGGGGGTTGGTTACACAGAGGGCGTAAGAGGGGGGGGGGGGGGGGGTTGAGCAGAAAGGTGAGAGCTTGGGGTTGGGGATTATCTCTCAGTGAGAGAGAGAGAGGGGGAGTGAGGGAATGGAGAGAAATACCTGGACAGTGGCTTTGGTGGAGAGAATGAGAGAGAGGAAAAAAAAAAGGAAGAGATAGGGGTAGAGAAGTCGCATGAGCCATGGCCTCTGACAAATGAATGACATGTCAGAGAGAATTGGTGTGACAGATATAAGGGGAAAATATGAGCTAGTTTCTTATAGGTTTAATATGAGAATTTCAAAATGTAGATCAAGAATTTTAAAAATTTTGGAAGATTGAAATGCTCATCATTATTATATCTGATAAATTACGTTTTATACCAATATTGCTTTTGCAAATAAAATGTATGATTTTTATGTAAAATTTTATAATTCACGCACTAATTATTATAATATTTCATCCTCTTTTATTGTATGTTCCCGAAATCTTGTTTGAATTTGGACCCTGGACCATTCCTGATCAGTGCAGCAACAATGCAATCACAAAAAGTGTACAAATTTTCCACATTGTCAAATTACACAAGAAGACAATCTGAACTTGACCTTTCTCTCTCTTATCACCATTACTTCGAGAAGTGGGGGACAAGTCCAATATTAGTGTAGAATTGATTAGGAGAAAAAAAAAAGAGGTATATTATTTTAATGAATATTTTTATAATATTTATGAGTTATTTTACAATTAAAAAATTTTACTTTTGTGAGTGATTTATCACTATTGGGAGCATGGTTATTAGAACCAAACTTTACATCAAATTGATAAAGGGGCTGAGTTAATAGTTCATTGGTTCAACAGCGAAGACAACGAAATCAATTCTTGAGGTTAAAGAAAGATGAGGCAAACTGGATAGATGAAAAGGAGGAGCTAAATGACCATATCAAACAATACTATTAGGATCTGTTCTCTACAATGGGGCAAAGAGAATTTGAAGAGGTTTTGGGGATTGTAGAAAGGAAAGTTACATAGGAGATGAATCTACAGTTGCTTAAGTCGATCCTGGATGAAGAGGTTAAGGTTGCTGTTATGCAGTTAGGGGCTTTCAAGGCCCTAGGGCCAGATGGATTCTCGGGTATTTTCTTCAATTCTTATTGGTGCATTGTCGGGAAAGATGTGGGTAGAGTCGTAAGGAATTTTTTTGAAGGGAATTTATTTTTAGGGACTTGAACAAGACAAACATAGTTCTCATCCCAAAGGAAGAATCGCTTGAAAAGATTTCTCAGTTTAGACCTATAACGCTATGTAATTTCTTATGCAAAGTTATCTCAAATGTCTTAGCCAACATAATGAATGGTTTGATGTCATCCATCATCTCACCCCAGCAAGCAACTTTTGTTCCTAATAAGCAAATTCAAGACAGTATCATTATAGCAAATGAGGTTCTCCATTACATGAGGCTGAAAAAAAAAAAAAAAGCAAGGTACCTGATCTGGCAATCAAAATAAACATCAACAAAGCGAATGACAAAATAGAACGAGACTTTTTGGAGGCTGTGATGCTTAAGTTGGGAGCATAGGGTGCAACTCATTATCTAGTGTGTTAGTACTGTTAGCTTCCAAATGATTATTAATGGGGAAAAAACATGTGATGTCTTCCCACATAGAGGTATTAGACAAGGAGACCCCATTTTCCCTTATCTATTCATCCTAGTTGCTAATGTCCTGTCCTCTATGTTGCAAAAAGGAGTGGAAAAGTAAAAAAATTTGGGTGTCAAAGTACGGAGAGGAAGCCCAGCTACTTCTCATTTGTTCTTCGCGGATGATCCTTTTTTCTTCTTTAAAGCAAAGGAACAAGAAACTTTAAATGTCATGAATATTCTGCACAAGTATTGCTTAGCCTATGGACAGTGTTTGAATCAACAAAAATCTAGTATCTGTTTCTCTACAAATGCCACGGAAGAGCAGAAAATTCAGTTT